AGTAAGTACAAAAGATCATAATCTAGCAAGAACACACTCAGGGAGTGGAGCTGAAATCTGACTGACTCCCCCCAACTCTCAATTACCATGTTATTTCTTTCTTGCAGCCTGGAGCCAGGAAAGTCACCTTACCTGGTTACCTGGGAAGGCAGATTACCTAGATGCATTCTCAACATTTTCTCTTGCAGTTTGCTTGGTGAATTGCTTGCACTACATTTACCTTCTCACCAGAACCTGGGGGTGGAGTCCCAATTCTTCATTTGGTTGTTGTTAGTTTGCTCTCTTCCTTTTTTATAAAACATGTTCCCAGGTGAATCTAACGTACTCTGACTCTGGAGAACCACAGGTTAACCAATCGAATTATACGCCAGGACTCCAGATAGGTAACATATGCTTTGGCCAAAGCTCACCCTCCTGTGCTTGCTAACTGCCCCTTTTCAGGTTGATTTTTTTCTTTCCCTTCTACTGCCTAGCATAAGCCACAACTTTACAGCATCCTTGCTCTCTGCCCAGGACATATTCCTATGATGTCTTGGGCTGACTCTTGTATCTGACCTTTGTATTACACTGGAAATTTAGTTAAGGTTTAATTTAGTTTTTACTCAGTCTAGGTCACTAAAGAAACCACAGAGATCTGGGTCCTCTGGATGAGTTATATGGCCTCCCTAGCTAGGCACCTAAACTCTAAGGCATATGTTAACTGGCTTTGGACCACAGAATAGAGCTGTGTGTTCTTTCTACCTCTGCCTCTCAGGCTCCCTACCTCCCTCTCCTCCTCTTTTTCCTCCTCCTCCTCCTCTGTCTCTGGCTATGTCTCTCTCTAAAACACACACACACACACACACAAACTTAGGGAGCAAGAAGGCAGCAGGTCCTGGTTGTTCTACGGTATTGAGATCACTCAGGGGAAAAGATGGAGTGTAAATTTCTTACCTGCTTCCACTTCTCCAACCGTATCTTTTTTATTCCTGACACCTGACTGTGTTTAGGACGCTATACATTTATTCTTACAACTTTCTTGACCTCCTAGCACAGAGGAAAGCAGAAAACTGAAAATATCCTCATAGCACATACGTGAGAAGGTAAAATGCTTCCCCTGTGGGAAGATTGTCATGTTTATTCTTTTGCTTGCTTTGCTGTAGTTGTAGCCATTCAGGATGATATGTGTGTTTGGAAACTACACTGAAACAAACCATCTATAATTCACAACAGAGTCCCTCTCCTGTAGCTACCCTTGCATATAAGGTACAGTAGAAAGTTGTTTTGTTTTGTTTTCTTTTTTTTTCTTTTTGGCCGCTACCATTTCCCCTAGAGAATTTGAGCTAGCAGGGGAAACTAAACCCCTCTTCAATGCACCCCATTTAGATAAAAAAGAAAACTGGGGACAAAAGCCTGCTCAGTGCCACTCAGACTTTGCCATGCTCTGGACCTGGCTTCTGCTTGTACTTGAGAGTTGTTGATTTAGCTTACATTCTTCCTTTTCAACATGTATAAAGCAGGGTCAGCAGGCAGTGTGGGTTTTTCCCCCTTCTCCCTCCAAAGTTTCCTGTTTGCAAACTTTCCACAGATGTTTTCTGTTTGCAGCAGCAATGCACCAACAACTTCTCACAAAAAAGCAAACAGCTTTCCTAACCGATGCAGCTCTGATAGAAATTCTCCAGCTAGCCAAGCAGGGAATGTGGTTATTGTAAACATTTATTCATCAGGCAGTGGGTCTCTTTAATCCCCTACTCTGCCGAACTTCAGTGAATCCCTCACGCTGGCCCCTGACCAATCTGCCAGGACTTCAAAGGATCTTGCTGGGGAGGCACGTGGTGGTGGGAGGGTATGGGGGTACAGCCCCTTTCCTGGGGCTGGAAGGGCTGGAAGGGCTGTCTGCCACTGTGGGGTGGGCAAGCTTGAGCTCATGCTCACAGGCTGACCCAAAAAACTGAGCTGAAGTTTCTTCAAGGGCCGGTAAAGAGGGGGTACCTCTCAATGGGGCAGGTTGCTTGCAGGTACGGTTGTCAGATTTGGTAAATAAAAGCATAGAACATCCAGTTCAATTTGAATCTCAAATAAACTATTTTTTTTTTTAGTATAAGTATGTTCCATGCAACATCTGAGACATACTTATACTAAAAAGTTATTCGTTGATTATCAGAAATTCAAGTTTGACTGGGTGTCCTGTATTTTATCTGACACACCCTCTTGGGGGTCTGCTCTTTGACTAGTCATGGGCTTCTTCAGGCTCATTTCTTTAAGGGATCGTTGTCTCTCCTTGCAGCCGGACCTGCTGGCATATGCTTTTGGAAACTCTTGAAAATGAAATATCCCTTCCCTCACTCTTTTCTCCTGAGGGTATCCAGGTGGACAGATCCAATAAAGTCTTTCATTTCACTTTCTGGCAGTGAATCCTCAGTGTGGAGCCAGATTGTCCCAGTGGACAAGTCCCTCTATGGGAAAGGGCAGGGCAACTCTGAAGTTGCATTAACTCTTTCAAGCCCTCAGTTTTCCACTTAGTAGGAGACATTCTCAGAGGCTTCATCCAAATGCCTCCTTTAGGCAGTGTCTATCCACATACACCTCTAGCTTAATCGCTGGTCAGGTGTGAATGGCTGTTTTGTTTTATGTAGACTCCATGTCATCACTGGTGTCTTTTTACTGCCAGCAACAATGCCAGAGGGCCTCAAATCAGCCAGAGGATGGAGCTGAAAACACTGTTCTCCAGGCTCAGACCTATCACTTGGAGGATGATTTGAAGCTGTGTTGCATAGACCCCAAAGGGATGGCTGAGCAGCCTGGATCCTGGGCCCCATCAGCCCCATGCCCACCAGAGTGGCCCCATCTTAAAGTGTTGCATCCTGAGGGTTTCATCTAAGGCTGTGTTTGAAAGAAGGGGTCTGTGGCTAAATGCAAGTTTGGAAACAACCGAACTAGGAGGAACTCTACTTCCGTATCAATGGTGTCTGCATTTCAACAATGCTTTTCCAAAACCCTTCACATGGCATTCCAGGCTTTCTGAGCATTGGTGCCACGTTCCCTCAGATCCCATTACCCCCAACCCCCATGTGCCTTGGTTTTATTCACAACAGACTGTTCGCTCCTCAACAGCCCACGGTCCTTCACTCCTCTACTTCTCTACTTTGCAAATCTCTTCTTGCCTTTTCAGACCCGATTCCAAGTGGCCCTCCATGGAGAAGTCCTCAGCTTCCCCCTCTTCTCCCAGAGTTGGAAATAAGCGCCCCCCTTCTACCAGAGAGCTTTGTTTGCATCGTGCTATGGACACACTCTTCATTCACTATTCGTTGATGCAACTGCCTCCCATGCTTGATTTTAGGCTCTTGGAGAATAGGAGCCTGGCCTCTGTGTCCCTCCCCACACCCATCTGGGACATCGCCTGAGTCAGTGCCTGATGGAAGTCCCCGTTCCCTGCGCTGCTACTCTTCTCATCTCTCCTGCTGAACTTCCCACCTTCAGGAGCCAAGTGGAAAATGTCTCCGTCCAGGATGCCTTCCCTGACTCTCTCTGTCACCACCAAACACATCATGGGCACGTCTATTATATTATCACATTCCATTTATAAACATTTATTTAAGTACATGTCTTCCTTCCACAAAGTAAGAGCCTTGAGAGCAGAGACTGTCCTATTCATCTCTGTAACAAAGCCCAGTGTCTCGTGTGGAGTTGGTACTTAAGTAATGCTTATTGAATGAATGAAAGAAAAACTGAAAAAAAGACCAAATAAATGAAGTTTAGCCAACCACAATTTCTTGTACACGAACAGTACAGTTAGGGAAGCTGTACTGGACAGTAGATTAAGAACTTGGGCTCTGGACTTTGCTTAGTTTGAATACCCACTTTCCCAATTACTAGGTATGTAACTTGGGGTAAATTAACCATCTGTGCCTCACTTTTATCCCCTGTAAAATGGGGATACTTACTCCATTCTTCTTATAGGGTGGTTATGAGGATCATATTAGGTAATGAAAGTAGAGCATTTCTTATAACAAGTATTGGCCAGATAAATGTTAACTATTATTACTGTTGTTGTCACTATTATTATTATTACTGTAGTTAGCATAATTAAGACAGGAAAGGCTACTATGCCTTCTAAAAAAGCAATCAGTGTATCTGTAGCAATGCGAATCTATTTCCAGCATTTCTACCATATATACAATCAGTATAGCATGGCTCATTATCAAATCTCATTCTGCAACAAGAACAAAGGACTTTACACAAAGGGTATAACAACCCCCAAACCCTAAACAAGTTGAAAATATATTTTATCTCCTTTCTATCACATCTGGTCCTGATGGACCCATATCGACTGCCCGCATGGACAAGCGTATAGATGGAGCTCCTCCATGCTTTGAGAAGTCCCAGCCCTGCCAGGGCTACTTCATGTCTGTCCAGAGGGGGGTCTTAGAGTCTGTATCTCACATGAGTCACACGAGTCACCCAGGGGCAGAGTTGCAAAGTATCTGACTGTCTCAGTAATAACCTGTGGAATCAGTGACCTTCTGGAGCTGTTGAACCTTTCTCCACTCATGTTTCTTCCCTGGGATGCCATTTTATCTTTTTAAAGGAGTCCTTTTCTGATGGCTGAAATGCCTTAGTCCTATTATTGATTCTTATAATGCCCCCAAGATTTGGTAGCTTCTGGATCCTTTAGGTATAAGGTTCTATTCCTTAATAGCTTGGTTCCCAGGAAGTGTCTGCCTTTACGAGGCACGGAAATGGGCATGTGGAAGGAGACACTTCAGCTTTGGCTGCCAACTGCTTCCACTTCAGGGCACATCTGTGGGTTTGTAAGGATATGGCTTGGGCTGGGGTGGATGGAGCGGACAGAGGCAAGAAAAAACAGGAGAAGTCTTTGCAATCCCAGAATTTGCATATATTTCACAAAGACCTGGCCATGCCATGGCCCACAAACCACCCGCAGCCAGCAGCTACTTACTGTGATTACGGCAGGGCCAGTTCCGAAGGTCCCTTCCAGGTTCCAGCATGACAGAGGTGGAGACCTGGAGCATAGAGTGGTCATTTGTCTGGGAAGGAAACACGTGGGATTTAAATTCTATACATGTTTCATCAGAGAAAAAAAAAATATTTGGCACAAGCTAGGAAAATAGGATTAAGTACCTTTTATACTTCATAGTCACTGATTATTCTACCTCAAACCCAGATAGAGGAAGGGGACTTGGGAAGGGAAAAGAACTTGATTGTTTTTATTTTGGCATTTCATGGCCACATGACATAATATTATTGAAGGACACTGGCTGGGGTCAGACACTATGATTCCGTTCAGTGTCTCCCACTAACTTGTTGCCTCCTTAGAGCTCACAGTGCTTTAGTGCTCTGTTCCATAAAGCAAAGGCTTTCTAACTTTTTGATTGCAAAAGAACGTCCTGAGATTATCTTAAAAATGCAGATCCCTGGGATAAGGTCCCTATCTCTGTGTCTGTAGCAGGCCTCCAGGTAATTAATTGCAATGCAGGCAATCCTCAGATCACCCTTTGATCTGTGTTGTGAGCTCCAAGATCCCTCCAACTCTGAAGTTCCATGACTTAGTGATTCTAGATGTCAGCAGAGTAGTAAGGTGCTATTTCAAGGTTTAAATGTTCATTTGATTGTAAGGAAATCAATGCCATTTATCCCAAAGCTGGTGACCTCTCTTGGGGGTTATTCATGTTTTAAAGCCATCACCTTTCAGATCCTTCTCTTCCAGGGGGTTTTACACTTGTCAATGAAAGATGGGCAGTCAGAGAGAGATTGGGATCTGAGCATCTGATAATATAAAAAATATCAGTTTGTGAGTTAATGAGTATAAAACTGATGTGAGAGCAAGACCGAGGAGACATGAACTTGGGGCTGAGCCAGTTTAAAAGACACACAGAAAATAGTTGTAGACCTACCTTCCCCAAGTTCTTAACAAGGGTTACCTCAAAAGACTCATCATGCAGACCAATCAAACAGATATAAATCCGTATGACCTGGGGACTGGTCATCTATTGTTTGAATCATAACTATGAAGGAAATGTAAGGACAGGTCATCCCATCCTCCAGCAAATATCCACTGGACTGTAGGCTCCATGGGAAGAATGGGGATTATGTCATTCTCATCTCATATCCTCAAGGCCTGGTACATGGCATATAATAGATGCTCATTAAAAATATTGAATGGGCCTGCCATCCCCTTCTCTTTCTTTGGGATGCCACACTATTTCCCTGCTCTCCCCAGCCCCTCTTCTTTCTCTCTCCCTCTTTCTCTCTCATTCAAGAGGATAAAATAAACATTTTTTTACTTTTATATATCTAAAAAAATAAAATAAAAATATTGAATGGAAGAATAATATTATTCTTTAAATTAATGGCTTTAAAGGAAGAATAAAAAACAAAATGTAAGCCTCTGTTTTCAGTTGTCCCTTCCTTAGGTGGCAATTTCAGAAAGTGTCCTTTATCTTTTAATTTCCAAATGCAATGTCTTTATAGTACCTGAAGATAAATCTGTTCATTCCTTTATGCATTCAACAAATTGTATCCAGCTAGCAAGGGGGCTGCAAAAATGAAACAGACACTGCCCTCAGGGAGCTGATGATCTGGTACATAACTGTGACATGTATAAGATTTGAGAGATTTCAGAAAACATTTGATAAAGGCAACATTTTATTTTATTTACAAATATGTAATAGAATCCCTCAGACCTGATATTCATTCCCTTCAAAGGAAGAAAATGCAAAATTTCTTCCCATCACTCATAATCTAACAGAGAAACCTTGGATCTCAAAAATAAAGTGGAAGCTCACGTGCTGGAAAATAGCTCAATTTTCCTTCTCATCTCCACTCCTCCTGCCCCCCCCTCCCCTGCCCCTCCTGTACCAAATGCTAAAACCTCCCACTCTCCCTCAAGTCAAGCAGATTTCTAACTTACTGTTTATCATAATTATAGGGTAAATTCCAATGCAAAGTATCTGAGAAATAAATGACAAATTTTCCAGATGATTAAACACTAATAACCATTGATAACATTTCTTGCAATAAATGTTGAAAACCCTACATGGAGGCTGCTGGCCAGACCTGGAGCTACTGCTTCACCTGTCTCCTCCCTGTTCTGAGCCTGTAGGACTGCTGTAAGGAGATGGGGCCTGCTGCCCACCAGTAGTTGGATGCTGGCTGATCCGCCAAACTGCTGCTTCCCCCCTAAAAAGTGATGACCAACAGGGACTCTGATAAGAACGTGAACCCAGATCAGCCTTAGAATTGCAGAAGTCCTGACCAGGCATTGGCTGTAGGTGAGCGGTGTCATTTCTTGGAGTGCCCTAAACAAAATGATTTTGGCTTTGCCTACCATTCAGTATCATCTATGACTTCCGTTCCCCTCTCTTTTTAACATTAAAAAAGTTGAAATGCATAGTGACAGTTGTGTTTTCTAAGTTAATTCTGAGGCCACCAGATGTTGGTCAATGAAATTTTTAAGAAATGATATAAAACAAAGATATACACAGAAACTTAGGAATCCAATTCTGTAGCAACTATGGTTCCTCTAACACTACCAACACTACCATAATATCAATATTTTGGGCTGGCAGTTCTGAACAGAGGTGATGCAGCCTTTTAAGGGGTATTTTGAAAATTTGGGAAGTAGTTGTTTGGGTTACGCAATGATTATGGACATGGCTTGCACTCAGGGAGGCTGGGAATGCTAGATCCTGCCAATTTTGACAATCCAGCCTAAGGAAGGTATGTCCCAAGATTTGCATGACTTTAAATTTTTCCAATGAACAGTCCTGCAGCTAAGAATCCTATATATAATTATCTTACCATATAATCTTTGGTTTCACATAAATTGAAAAAAAATTTTTTTTGCACAGTTTTGCTATAAAGCCATTTTCTGGCAGTGCAACTATTGTGCAAATGTAGGGAAGTTTTTTTGTTTGTTTGTTTTTGTTTTTCCTGCAGAATATTACTAAGAGCTCTTCACTACTTTAGAAAAACCATAGCCTCCAGCAATGGCTCATGACATTCAAGTCACCAGTACAACTTCCCCATCACATTCATGGTGATGTGAGGAAAAGGGGCAAGCATCCAACCGTGTCCTTTCGTCTTCAAGGGAAGCCAGGCCTGAGGATTTCACATATTAAAATACCTGATGTTTTATAATACACTATATTTATTTCTTTTTTATGTTACCGTCAAAACATTTTATTTTTTGCTATTGTTAATAGTATCCATGTAAATAAGTTATACTATCTGTGAATTTCGTATCATGAGAGGAAAGGGACAGAATTATAAAATATTTATTATAAAAAAGAGGTATCTGGGTAAGACATTATATTTTAACCATTTTTTTCAACTTAAGATGAAATATAACACACAAAGCAAACTCTTGTGTAACTATCATCCCGGTCAAGAAACAGAAAACTGCCAGCACCACAGAAAGTACTCTCAAACCGGATCTTCTCCTACTTACAAGTAATCACTATTTTGACGTTTATGAAAATCTTCTCAACAAATTTACCAACTAAGCACACCTTCCTAAAGAGCAGAGTTTAGTTTGTCTTTTTTTTTCTTTTCAACTGCATATAGATGAAATTACATTGCATATGCCTACAGTGTCTGGTTTCTTCTGCTGAACATTAGGTTAATGAGAGTCATCTATGTTGTTGCATCCAACTAGTGCACGTATCTCTTCATTGTTGTGTAATGCTCCACTGTATGAATATACCACAATTTCCTTTTTCTAATCTATTGGTGGACATGGAGCTGTTTCCAGGTTTTGGTGATTTACAAAACAGTAAGGAGATTATTTCCCAAAGAACTAAAAGTAGAACTACCATTTGATCCAGCAATCCCACTACTGGGTATTTACTCAGAGAAAGAGAAGCCATTTTATCAAAGAGACAACTTTCCTCAAGTGTTTTATTGCAGCACAATTCACAATGGCAAATATGTGGAACCAACCCAAAGTTGTGGAATCAACCCAACACATGAGTAGATTAACAAAATGTGATGTATGTATACTGTGGAATACTACTCATCCATAAAAAAGGATGGATTAATGCCTTTTGCAACAATCTGGATGGAACTGGAGACCATTGTCCTAAGTGAAGTATCTAAAGAATGGAAAAACCACCACATATAGTCACTATTAAATTGGAACTAACCGATGAGCACACGTGTGCACAGAGGGAAGTAAAACTCAGTGGAAATCAAGCAGCGGGGAGGGGAGAAGAGGGTCTTTTCTGAAAGGCAGAGGTGACAACCTAACCAACGTTCCCTAGATACCTTACGTACTGCACGTTTCAACAAGAGCTGCAGTTGCCACAACCACCATGTCACCCGTTATTTGGTCAGTGCAGTGACTTTAAAGAATAATGACTGTCGTCTGTGTCCTCCCAATGGCTTGCATCATCATCGACACAAACGAATCTGAAAGACGGCACAAAGGCTTGGATCAAGCAAGGCTTTCCAACTGTGGTGTTTGTTGCACAGAGAGAGAAGTGAAATGGAATCGTCTGTTTCTCCAGGTGGGTAACGGCTGCTGAAGTCTTAGAAGCTTTCACTCTTCCCCCAGGTAAGGAGCCATGAAGCCAATCACCCTCTACCCCTGCTAGTGGGCACCTGTAACCTGGGCCTTTCTCGTTTTCACCGCTGGAGCAGCGGCTGACTGTCATTTATAAAGGGTTTAGCATGGGCTGGGCAGCATGCCAAGCACTTCATCGACGCTAACGGGACCCATTCTCCCAGCAGCCCTATGACATTAGGTCTGTCTTATGTCAGATGCTCTGGGTCACCAAACCACCTTTCCCCTCCAGACATCTGCTGGGCACCTCCTTTCCCTTCAAAGTCATCCATCTCTCTTGACAGGAGATCAGCCCCTATTACTGAGCTCTGATCAATATAACGTAGGTGGCAGTGATGTGTGCTGCTTGGGAGGTGATTTTTTCCTACAGCCTGCAGCATCCCTGAATTTAGAGGTTATTGTTACCCCGACTAATAGATTCCTGCTATGTCATTTTACAGATGAACATGAAGTTGAATGATTTGC